AGCACAGGGTGCCATTTCCGAGCACAGAACAGAAAACCACTGCCGGCCACGGGGAAGCCCGGCATCGCCACCACCTGCACGCAGGCCCACAGCTCCGGGCGCGAGGCCTGGAGGCCCGGTGACAGCACAGGAGCCATCACACCTACGAGGAAGGGCGTGGGGGCGGGGAGGGGGAGAGCAGGAAGCCCTCTTTGAGGCAGAAAGAGTTAAATCCACATATTTAAATATTTAGCAAATAAGACCAAAATGTCACCCAGAGACTGCCAGACTGCCATAGTAACCAAGCCAGCACAGCCAGCGACAGCCAGCCACGGCCAGCCACGGCCAGCCACGGCCAGCCACGGCCAGCAGCAGATCCACAAGTGAAGAGGGGTGGGCTGAGGCTGGCCCACAAGAAGGGTCGAGACGGTGGCGGGGAGGGCCACGCGGGCACGGCCAGCTCACAGGAACAGCCCGCTGGGACCCGAGCGCCCTTATGAGACCAGAGCACAGGCCAGAAGCCAGGCCCCCGGACGGGTCGGCCACAGCTCAGCCGTCTCCCCGGTGACGAGGGAGGGTAAACGCGCCCGCCTGTCCCAGGTTTGTCATCCATTCACTGTTCCCGCCTGCGAGCCCCTGCTGTGTGCGAGGCGCTCTCCCCGAGGTTCCCACCACGGACACGGCCCGGGCGGCGAGGCAGGCCCACAGGACACACGGGGTCAGGCCGTGCTCTGCTCGGGGAGTGGGGTGCCTGGAACAGCTCCGCGGGGAGGAAACATCCGTGCTGAAACCTGAAGGCCTGGGAGGCGACCTCAGGCAGCCCAAAGGTCTGATAACACACGGGAAAACCCTCCGGAACATACGAAGCCCCAGACGAGGCCAGGAGGCGGCATCACCGCTGAGCAGCGGCAGGAGGGCCTCCTCTCGGAAAACCTGCGAAGGGTGATCTGACAGGGACTCCCGGGGTCCGGGCTCAAGGTGGGGGGATAAGGGATGCCCTCCGCTGATGCACAGTGGCCCCCGGGCACCGCCCCCTGGAACACACTCCTCATTTCCCTCCTCCTGCGTCTGCAGAGATCTGTCCGGGGCGGGTCTGTTAGAGCGGGTGGAGCAGGAGGTGGACGGGAGCTTGGCAGCAGTGGCTGCCATCTGGAATTTTCCTGTCCATCGCTGCACCCCTAAGTGCCGGGAGCTCCCTCCTCACCTCTGGGCAGCGTGCCTGGTGAAGGGGCTGGTGTCCTCAGACCAAGCAGGCTGGCAGGGCCGTCTGCCTGGAGGTCTCTGGATCTCAGGGCCCCCCATCTGTTCCGTTCACAAAGAAGGCCTTGGCCCATCTCGGACCCAGGGAGGGCGATCCAAATTCACCAGCCAACCAGCCAGAGGCAAGCTTAGGGCGTGACTACCAGCGGCCGACCGGGGTGGAGACCCAGCCTCCAAGGTTTAGTAGGCGGCCACCTCCCGAAGGACAAACACACCTTCCTGCCCTGGCCGGTTTGGCTCAGTGGACAGAGCGTCGGCCTGTGGACTGAAGGGTCCCAGGTTCGATTCCGGTCAAGGGCATGCACCTTGGTTATGGGCACATCCCCAGTAGGGAGGGTGCAAGAGGCAGCTGATGGATGCTTCTCTCTCATCGATGTTTCTAACTCTCTATCCCTCTCCCTTCCTCTCTGTAAAAAATGAATAAAGTATATATATTTTTAAAAACACACTAACACACACCTTCCTTCTGTTCTCTCTCCACTCCTCTGTCTCCCTTGAGTCAAGGCCTAGGGCCGGCAGCTTCCGAAGGCAGAGGTTGGGTGTGAATGACTTCTGAAGTCCCCAGCCCCCCTGCTCAGGACCTGGTTCCAGAGGCGCCCCCACAGCCTGCCCCAGCTCCCGCCTCAGGCCTGTTGTCTATCTCAAGACCTCTCCCGCCCTGCCTGCCCAGCAGACACGGCCTCCTGAGCGAAGGTGTTTTGCATGTATTATCTCATCTGATCTGCACAACAGCCCTTTGTGACGGGCACTATTATTAGCCCCATTTTGCAGGAAGGAAATAGACAAAGAGGGATTCAAAACTTGCTAAAGGTCACACCATCACACACTACAATGTGTCAACGAGCGGGATCTGAACCCAAGCCAGAGCCCTCTGCAGTCCCTGCTCTCAGCCACCTGCTCTCCTGCCCTCCGGGGCGGCACTGGCGGCCTCATCAGAGCCAGAGAGGCATGGAGGCTGGCAACCGCTTGGAGGAACGAAAGGCTGTTGGGCTTCCTAGACACTGAATGGGTGAGCCGGAAGGGGATGCAGAGTGGGGGGAGGGAGGACACTGCGGAGCAGAGAGTCCCATGTTTTGCGCGTTGAGCCGGGGATGTGCCAATGACATTGAACACGTGAGCCTGCGGCCTGGGAGGCTGCCGTGGCCCGACTGCGAGTTGGTGGTCGCCAAACCACAGGAGTAAATGGGCTCTCCGGGAGAGAGTAAGGTTTTCAACGTTTTGGTACATTTTTACAAAACGCCTTGTTGCCTGACTGGCGTGGCTCAGTGGCCGAACATCAACCCATGAACCAGGAGGTCACGGTTCGATTCCCGGTCAGGGCACATGCCCAGGTTTCAGGCTTGATCCCCAGTGGGGGGGCGTGCAGTGGTTCTCTCTCATCACTGATGTTTCTGTCTCTCTCTCCCTCTCCCTTCCTCTCTGAAATCAATTTAAAAATTAAAAATGCGTGTGCGTGTGTTTGTGTGTGTGTGTGAGTGTGTGTGTGTTCTCGTTTCTTTCCAGGACACACTGGCAGGAGCATAGCAGACGCCTGAGCCTCTGAGAGCTCCATGCTGCGTGCTCCATGCCCCACCCTGGCGAGACAAGGGGAGACTGAGCAGAGGCCGGCGGCCATCTTCGCCGCCCCTTTCCCTGTTTCAGAGCCACCACCCTGCCCCCATCCCCTCTGAGAGCCTGCCGCGCCGAGGCTGTCCGACTTAAAGCCAGAGTTCGGTTGGGAGTCACCCAGTACTGTTTCCGAGTTTTTCTTTCTCAAAAAAAAAAACCCACGAGTTGTCCAAACTAACCAAGAGGAATACGGTTTTAGACGGCACCCCAGCGTCTGTGTGCAGGGCCGGGGCCTGGGGCTGGAGGGGAGCATCTGGGGCAGAGCTGGGGGAGGTGGAGAGATGGTCATCTGGTCCCTGCTAACATGTGACCACGTGACTAGCAACTGGTCAGGACGAGCGAGGTGCCGAGCAGGTCCTGGCACGGCCCCCGCCAGCACCCGGCAGTGAGCACCCCGGCCTCACTCCGGGGGAGCACATCAGGCCGCTCCCTACGGAAGGGGCCTGCCGGGGGCTCCACCCGGATAAGAGCCAGCGGTCCGCCCTCTCTCCGGAAGCCGGTCCCCCGCTGGCCGCTCACCACCCCTCAATCAGAGAATTGCAGAATTGGGGGGCTTAGGAGCCCCAATGAACGGATGAGGAAACGGAGGCCCAAGACCGCAGCGCTAACTAATGGCCGATATTGCTTTTAAAACCAGGGACCTTGGACCCAGGGCCCTTTCATTCAGCACATGTACTGCGCACCCCAGCTCTTTGTCAGCCACCGTGAGTCCTGAGAAATGAAAAGATGGATGGCATCCTAGGCCCTGAGGTGGGGGAGAAAAGGACGGGACAAACACAGGACAGCCGGGTGAGGCGCACACAGTGGATGCAGGTGTAGGAGCAAGCCCTCCTGGCCCCCACCACCGCCCCCAGGAGAACCTGGGCCCCCACCTCTCCCGTCCCCCTCCAGAAAGAACTTGACCTTCGGAAGGTCAGAGGCCCAGAGGGAGCCACAGACCGGAGGCTTCCCATGAGGCCGTGGGGCACGTCGGATGCGGGGCCGGGCGACGGAGCTGGGGCCAGGCAGGCTGGGTCCGGCATGGAGAGCAAGCCCTGCGCCCTGCCAGCACCGGGCAGACGTGACGGTCACCATCTGCCGGGCCCAGCGTGCACAGGCGCGGGCCCCGCTGGGAGCAGTGGGGCAGGGAAGGGACTGATGTTTCCATGTCGTCAAAGCCCTCTCTGTACTCTCTGCTGTTACCAAGGCTCTTCAGAGACCAGCAAAGAAAGTCACATGTTCCAACCCAGAAAGGTCACGGGCCTGGCCACACACACACACCATGAGAAGAGGTCACGGTGGAGTCCTGACCCCAGATGTTCTGACCCCGAGTTCTGATCTTTGTCCATCTCTTGCTGCTGCCCAGAGGTGGGTCTATCTGAGCTCCTCCAGTCAAAGGACCGGGGTTGTACCCGGATTCACATGTGAGACAAAGAGCACCTGGATGCCCAGGCCCCCCAGAGCAGGCCATCCTGAAGGGCCATTGTCACAGAAGATGCCACAGATCTGCCCTCTCCTTTCTGCCCTCCCAGCCCGGGGAGAACAATGTTCTCAACTTGAAATGCACCCCAGGGGCCCGGCCGATATTTCTCTGGGTGCCAAGTCCCTCCTGGACAGCCGCTCCCCCTCCCCCGGACAGGATAAAGTCTACCGCACATGGAAATGCAGGTTTCTGGTGGTATTCGGTGCAGTGTGCATGTGTGCACGCGTTTGCATGTGCGTGTGTGTGTGTGTGTGTGTGTGTGTAGGAGGAGGACACGAGACAGGTCTGTCTCACTGGGGGGATTCTGTGACTCAAGTTCAGAAAGGATCCAGTGAGTGAGAAGTCAAAGCAACGCACAGGGTCCTCGGAGGAAGCGAGGCTCATGTGTTCCAACACTGCCGTGGTCCTGGTACTCCGAGCAGACGCCTCCCTAAATCACAGAGCCACGCGTGCCGCTGGGATCCCCCAGAGAAGATGACGTCGCCGTTGTTCTACAGCCAGAGGGCAGCCTCCCCATTCCCCCCGCCATGAGCGTCCAAACCAACGGAAGAGCCAGGATCTCGGACGCCATCTTAGGAAACCCCCCCCCCCCCCCGAGGAGCCGCTTAGGGGGTGACGCGGGGGCGAGGCCAGGCTCAGCCTGCTGCTGGAAATGGCCACCGCCTGGCGGGTGAGGGCCCGGGGCACCTACCTGGACTTCACGGGTGTGATAGGCGATGATCAAACCCAAGAGGATGATGGTGGACAGACTGATAAGGCATTTCAGGGCCAACGAAAACATGGAATCCTGCGGGAGAAACAGAGAGAGGGTTACCCGTGACGGCCAGGAATGGGGCGGCGTGTTTTACACAGAGGCCACGGGAAGGGGGAGCCTGGGGGCAGAGGAGGGACGGGCACCAGGAAGGGCCTTCGGCGGGGCCCTGGGCCGCACCACCTCAGCGGCTGCTCCCCGCCCGGCCGCTGTCCTCAGGGTTCCATCATCGGGGCCTCCCTGGGATGAAGGCTGCCTGGGTGTGATGGATCACCTTTGTTATGTGTGACTGGAGTCGGTTTGATGTGTTGTTTAGAATTCTTGCCTCCAAGCTCATAAGTCATGTGAACGTAATTTTTTATTTTTATTTTTTTAGTGCTGCTAGGATATGGTTTGGGCATCAATCCTGTGCCAGCTGAGGCCTCTCTTTCTCTTCACAAACCTGAGCCAGAGGATTCCAGCGGTCCCTGTCTCTCTGACCGTGCAGAATTTTTTCAGGAATGAATTAGAATGTCGTGGCTGCTGCTCTCATCTCATGTTTTAGGTCAAGGACAGGGAGGGAGAGAGGGGTGGCAGAAGAGTGACTGGAGAGAGACGGGGGCTGAGCACATGAGCACCTAGGCGTCCTGGGCAGGAGAAGGGCCCTGGGGGGCCTCCCAGCGGAGGATGGGGGAGGCAGGTTGGCTGCGTGGCCGTCCCCGCAGCCTTCCAGCCCCAGAGGAGCTTAGAGGACCCCCTGGTTGGGAGCACAAGCTCTGGGGAGAGCTTGTTGGTCTGAACCCTGACAGCCACCAGCTAAGTGACCTCGGGCAGCCCGGCTGCCTCGTGAGCCTCGTGGGGAGAGCCTACCCCGTGCGGCTGCTGTGAAAAGGAGCGGACGTGTGTGTGTGCAAAGGGCTGGACCGGTGCCTGGCTGTGTCAAGGCCAACAACCACTGCCATTGACTTTGCTTCCCCTGCAAATGCAGGGCGACCCCGTGCCTTCCTGGGCGTGGGAAAGCCTGGGAGTAGAGATGGCTTCCAAGCCCAAAGGGAGACAGGAGCGCAGCCCTAGCGAAGGCAGCGGGTGAGAGGCCGGTGCCCGGGCGTCCCAAGAGCTGGACACCGAACAAGAAACAGCCCCTGTGCTCCCCGGGCTGGGGTCAGGGCAGCGCCCGATTCCACGAAGCACCTTACAGTGGACAAGGTGCTTTCACACACCCGTCCCATCCATCCTCACCTCGGCCCTGGCCTCTATCTCACTCGACACACACCCCGGCTAACGCTCAGAGAGGCCTGTGCCGAGCTCCCAGCCGGCTCGAGGGGAGCACTCCCACAAGCCCCCGGGCCCTCTCTCCAATGGGAACAGCAGGAACGCCCTCTGAGAAGTGTCCCCCATGACCTCTTGCAACAACAACGGAAGGGATTTCAAAGGTGGGATATGATTAACTGCCTGGTGAAACCCACAGTAAACCCGGGTTGGGTGGAGAGAATCAAGAGAGGGAGACATCCCTGTTCAGAAAGCTTCCAGAGAGCCTGGCTCAGGGGTTGAGCCTCGACCTGGGAACCAGGAGATCAAGGCTCAATTCCCGGTCAGGGCACATGTCCACTGTGGGGCATGCAGGAGGAAGCCAATCAGTGATTCCCTCTCATCATTGATGTTCTTATTTCTCTTTCTCTCTATCTTTCCCTTCTGCTCCGAAATCAGTAATTTAAAAAAAAAATTTTTTTTAAAGAAAGCTTTCAGAGAGAGTGACAGGGGGCTGGGGGCTGCAGGGGTGGGTAGTGTTGTCCCAACCACTGTGTCCCACCCAAACCCACACTCCCACCGCCCTCTGCAGGCCGAGACGGAATGACAACAACCCTCCCTTATGTCTGTCCATCTGACAGTCACTGATCTGGTACAGTTCCCGGGGCCCACGTTATGCCAGGCAGGAACTAGCACCTGGGAATCCCAAGGGAGAACTCAGGAGGCCGCTCATTCATTCATGGTTTCTTTCCTTCACGACCATTTCAACCACTTCTCATTTCTTGAGCAACTACTACACGCCCAACAGTGAATTAGATACTCTAAGACAGCAGTCAGCAAACTCATTAGTCAGCAGAGCCAAATATCAACAGTACAACGATTGGAATTTCTTTGGAGAGGCAGATATTTTAAACTTAAACTTCTTTTTTTTTCTCCCTCCCTCCCTCCCTCTAAACTTAAACTTCTTCTAACGCCACTTCTTCAACATAGACTCGCCCAGGCCGTGGTATTTCGTGGAAGAGCCACACTCAAGGGGCCAAGAGCCGCATGTGGCTCACAAGCCGCAGTTTGCTGACCACGGGTCTCAGATATTACAGAGACCCTCCCCATGGGACTTTTACACGAACGCTGTCCAGCTCTGGGGAAGGGGCTCCATTGTGCGCTGCCCAGACAGTAATCTAAACAGAAGCCGCTGGCGTGGCCCAGGCATTCATGAAGGGCCGCCTGCAGGCATCACTCCGCACACGTGCACGGGGCTGGCGGTGTGCTGCTCCTGTTATGAGCACGAAGCAAAACAGACCTCCGTTCCAGGCCTGGAGAAGGTTCTGGTCTTCAAAAGCACCCCTCGATGCCTGAAACATGACCCAAGCCACAGGCGGGAAAGGTCAGGCGGCGAGGTCAGGGACACGCGGGCCGTTGCAGGGTGAGACAGAACTCCCTACAGGAAGCAGCTGGGAATAGCTCGCCATGTTCCTGCGCCAGGAACGACCATAACTTTCTTCTCAAAGGAGCCTGAGGCGTCTGGGGAGCATCAAGCCTCCCGGGGAGGGGGTGTGGGACCAGCCGCCCATTTCAACCTCTAAATTATGTTTCCTGGCAGAAATTAACTGAACCCGTCATCCAAGTCTATTTCTATCGTCTTTAGAGGAAGAGGTGAAGGGGGCCAGATGGTGTCTCCTCTCCTCTCAGCCTCTTCCTTTTGTCCTACAACTTGAAGCCTTTATGGAAGAGGCAACTCCCGCCTGCTCCTTGGCTTCGAATGGTGCAGCCCCCTTGGCCAGCCCCAGCCCCGGAGGGACATGGCCTGTGCAGAGGGTCAGCCATAACACTCGCTTCTCTACAGATTCCCTTGCTTTCTCTATCACAGGTCAATAAAAATACACCACCCCCCATTCTTAATAGCCGGGGAACACATCAAATACTTCTGGCTGGTCAAAACCAGTTTGGCTCAGTGGCTAGAGCGGCGGTCTGCGAACTGAAGGTTCCCAAGTTCGATTCTGGTCTCAAGGGCAGGTACTACATTGGTTGCAGGCACATCCCCGGTGGGGGGGGGCGGGGGGGTTGCAGGAGGCAGCTGGTTGATGATTCTCTCTCATCGATGTTTCTAACTCTCTCTCCCTCTCCCTTCCTCTCTGTAAAAAGTCAATAAAATATATTTTTAAAAAAATACTTCTGGCCGGACTAGACAGGTTTTCTTTTTGGATAAATATTTCATTACCATCTCTTCTTTGCTGCCTGAGCGCCAATGAAGCTTGAAATGGATGTGGTTCTGGGGTGATGATAGCGGCTCTGGGCTGGCTAATTAGTGGCCATACACTAGGCCCTGGGGGCACCTGGTGCACCTGCTCGCCCCCCACCCCCTCACTCCTGTCTGAGGGCAAAGGAGACAGACAGGGCTGGAAGGCAGTCCCACGGCCAACTGGTCAACCCCTGCCCCCTGCAGCTCAGGACATTTCAACAACAGAATAATAGCCCTTAATGCACATGAGTACTTAGGAGTTCTGTCTCTACAGATAAGAGTCATTGTTAAGCCATTTATTCCTCCATGCCCCAAAATAGTAGGGTGGGTAGGTAAAGTCTAGACTAGCCAGTGACAGAACACTATGCAGCCACCTAAAAGCACTTCTAGAGAGAAAATTTGAAGATATGAGGAAAGGTTCGGGATCTAATATCAAGTGAAAAACCCAGGCCTCAAAACTGAGGTATATTTGTATTGGTATATTGGTATATTGGTATATTTCCAATTAGTTTTCAAATTTTTACTTTTCATAAAAAAAAAAATGGGGAAAATATGGTATCATGTTCTAAAGTGGTAGGCTGGGTGCTCAACTCACGGCACACATCTGTACGCTCCTACCAGGGAGAGATGGAGAGTCTAGGAAACACATTGATACCATATCACCGCTGATGCTTGAATACAGAAGGTGTTTAATAAGTGCTTCCTGCATCCTAGCTGGTTTGGCTTAACGGATAGAGCATCAGCCTGTAGACTGAAGGGTCCAGGGTTCGATCCCAGTCAAGGGTCAAACCCAGTATGGGGTGTGCAGGAGGCAATCAGTCAATGATTCCCTCTCATTATTGAGGTTTCTATCTCTCCCTTTCTCTCTTCCTGTCTGAAATCAATAAAAAAAATTTTTTAATAAAGAAGTACTTTCTGAAATTACTTAGTAATAGTCCTTTTATTTTCACCTAACATTTATTGAGTCCTGACTGCGTACCAAGCCCCATACGAAGCCTACTACCCAACTTAACTTCCGTCCACACCCTATAGACGAGGCCAAATCTCCATTTCACTAACAGAGAAACAAATAAAACGACGTTTCCAAGGTCACACAACTAGCCCGGATGTTCGCTCTATGCCAGATTTTCTTCTATATACCATGTTTCTCCCCTTCCTTCAAACGAACGAGGCCTCCGTGTGACATAGTGAATTCCCACCATTCCAGCGGAGGCTGGTGATAAGCCATCAGGGGTGCCCCTGAGTGAGAGGGTGACCCCTAAGACACCCCCATTGCTGTGGTCCCTGTCCTGCCCCAGGCCATCGGCCAGCCCTTCACAGAGCTGTGATTTCCTGTCGATGACGACATCTGTGATAAAGAACTAACTACTGTCAGGCTTTCCATGTAAGACGGCATCGCCAGCTTTTACGAAGGAGGACCCCGAGGCTCCGAGACATTAGCTTGTCCCCGGATGTGCCAGCAAATGGCAAAGGCAGGACTGATGGAGCTGGGATGACTCCAGATCTGCCTGCCTCCCTGTTCCAGGCTGCGCCCACCAACACCCCCACCAACACCCCACCGTGCCCCCTG